TGATGAGAAGACCCAAAGTAGGGATGCTATTTGGCTGGAAATAAAAAAGAAGAGAGTAAGATTAACATTTTAAAGGTTTTTCAATTTTTTGTATGCATTGCGGACTTGGATTGAATTGTGGGAGTCTTTTGTGCAGGCTAATTGCCAACATGATGGTGTTGAATTTGAAGCTGCTAAATCAGAAGAGAGAGCTGCACGTAAGCTGGTTAGGTCAAAGCGTGCTGAAATTGAGCATCTTCAAACTGCAATTAATAGAGTGAAGAATGCAATTTCTGTCGAGGAGATAGATGCAAGGGTAGGAATTCACCTCCACCCTAACCCCTTCCCAATTACAGAATATTTGGAGGATTATCACATTTGTATTCTGATTTTAACATTTTACATAACTTACTCATGGCTACAGATATGTAGCATGGAACACATGATAGAGCATGAAACTCTTCCTTTAAAAGAGGAAAAGAACTTAATTCGTGAAATTAAGCAGCTGAAGCAGCTGCGAGATCAATTATCCTCTAACATAGGTAGTTGTGATGAAGTCCAGCAGGCTCTGGACAATAGAGACCAAATTGAAGAGAGCTTAAAGGTAACACACTGAAATACTGAAATTCTATTCAATATGTTGCAGTCTGCACTTTCAGCAGGAATCCTATTCTGAGTTTTCATGTTTTTTATTCATTAATTAACTCCTTTAACTTGCATTTACCTGACCTTAACGTTTGCAGAATTTGAAAAAAGAGCTTGATATCCTTAAAAACAAGGTATCAAAGGCTGAAGCAGTTGCTGTAGCAGTAAGCTTGAGATATGAAGAAGAAAACAAAATGCACAAGGACTTGCGAGTTCAGTATAAGGCTGCTAATGAAATTCGCCAAGCAGCATACGAGAACTTGCAGAATTTGAAAAAGATACTATATGAGAAGGTTAGTAGTAATATTTTGATGTTGAAGTTTAGCTTATTCTGTGATTAACAAGTTGTAGATCATGCTGAGTGAACACTTCAGAACTTGTTATACTTGTGGCTATTCTTTTAATAGTGACTAGATGATTGTTTTCTTATCCCTGAGGGAGGTTGGAACAGAATATCTGTAATTTGTTAGGAGAATTGCTTTGGTAGTGATTATATGGCATATTTGCCCCTTCAGTGGAGGAGCGTTTACCAGAATGAGTATCTTGCGTGACTATTTAAGAATACACCTAGGTATAAAAGCCTGCAAATTTAATGGACTCTATTTTCATTGTCATTTTTTTTTGTAGCTTTATTATTATGTTTTTTAAATGGTTAAGGCATAAATACAACTTTTAAACCAAGTATCTTCTTTGAGAACTTTATGTGACTGGCCTAATGGTTTAGGGTATGAACTTTGAAGGATTTTCAATTCTCTCATATGAAACACAAAACTATAGTGAGTTAGTGTCCTACTCCAAATTATGGTTTTTATTTATTTATTTTGGTGCAAAATGGCAGAACTTGGCGACGCCTATTGTTACTCTTTCATCCTCTCGATAAATGTTTATGCCAATATTTTGTAGCAACTAAAAATTAAATTCTTCTGAAATTGTAGAACAACCATTTCCGGATGTACAAGGATAATGCATCAACAGCTAGTCGTCATGCTGAATGCAAAGACACTGAAGCTCTTCATCATCTTTGTGCCAACCAGGTTGGTTAATTCATTTCCTTGATCGGTCATCTTTTCGAATAATGCGACAACTAGAAGTTTTAATTTTTCATTAATTCATTTCTTTGGTCATCTTTTAGAATAATATAATGTGACAACTAGGAGTTTTAATTTTCAGGTTGAGAAATATATGGAACTCTGGAATAGGGATGATGAGTTCCGCCAGGAATATGTGAGGTGCAACATGAGGAGTACAGTTAGGAGATTGGGAACATTGGACGGTCGTTCTCTTGGCCCTAATGAGGATCCACCTGTTCTCCCGGTTTATGTAGCTAAAAGAACTGATAAAGTGATTTCCCGTACATCAAAAGTTGATTTTGTCTCCCCAACCTTGCCACTGCAGCAAGAAAAACAAGTAATGCTTATCAAGGATGAAGACATAGCCAGAAAGCCTATGGTGAAAGTGACAGTACAAAAGACTGAACGAGAGAGGAAAACTGGCGCTGTGAAGTCTAATTTGGAGAGTGCAGACAGTGTATCTAGTTGGGGTGTAAGCAATGACGTGAAAAGGGAAGACATTCAAATTCAAACAAAGGAGGAATTGGAGTTGGCTAGGAAGGAAGAGGAACTTAAAAGGCTGGAAACTGCTGCTAGATTGAAAGAGCAACGCCGGTTAGAGGAGATTGCCAAGGCTAAGGAGGCACTGGAAAGGAAAAAGAGAAATGCAGAGAAGGCTCAAGTGAGGTCAGAATTACGAGCTCAGAAGGAATCAGAACAGAAAGAGAAGGTGGGTGAAGCTTTTAGCATCATCTTTGTGCTATTTATATTTGTTCTAACATGAAATGAAAATTAAAAGGCGAGCTTGTGTGTTTGTTTGTGTGTGTGAATGGATGGATATATGTAAACGCACATATGTCTGTTCTGATTTTTTGTTTTATCTGTACAGGAGAGAGAGAAAAGATTGAGAAAGAAGGAAAGAAAGAAGGGTGGTGGCAGCGAAACTGCTAATGAGAGCGAAAATGTTTCATTCTGTGAGAGCATAAAAGACATTGTGAATGAGGCTGAAACAAAGGAGACTGAGGAGGCTGGTAAGAAAACTCAAAAGGTCCCTCAGTATGCAAAGCAAAATAAAACAAAATCTATTCCTCCACCACTTCGAAACAAAAACAAGAAGAAAATGCAGCAGTGGATGCGGATAATTTTCACATCCATTATTGTCATCGTTTTGTTCTTGCTGGGAAACATTGGCTTCTTTGCCAATCTTAAGAGCCGCCAAAATGTCTTATAATCTTGCTTTAATGTCCTAGCCGGGATGGGGAGTTTTGGTGTTGGATATTCTTACTTGCATCTGGAATTTTAGTTTTATTTTATCTTTTGTTAGAAAAGAAAATTATTGCCAAAGGCCTTGTGGTCAAGCGGCATATCTGTAACCCCTTAAATGAGAGGTCTTAGGTTCGTACATGATTTAGTGCTTTAATATGTTGAGAAAGTATGTAAAAAGAAAAGGATATTATTTGAACGACTTATAGGGTGGGGTTGTGTGTTTTGCATAATGAACAAGAGCAGTAACATTACATCATGATTTTGTAATACTTTGTAGATCCCTATTCCCTTCTTGGATAATCTATTGAATAGGCAAATGGGTATATAGTCACTTTGATAAAGTCGACCAATGAAATCAAAACTAAGCTGTCATTGAAATTTGAAAGTTTATTTAAGAAAGGAAAGCATATTCTTTTGAATGAATTTCAAACTTTATGGTTTTTTTTTTTTTTGTTTTTTGTTTTTGTTTTTTTTTACACCAAAAAAAAAAAAAAACATCCCATTGGACTCAATACCATACATAACTTTATGGGTATTTAATCTCAGCTAATTTTTTTGTTGATAATTAATCTCAGCTTTTTTAAAGCTAAGTATTTTAGAGGAAAAATTACTGTTGTTTTATCGGAATTCTTTGAGTGATTTGGAAGAACTCCTGAATCTATAATTAGTCATACATGAATATATTTATCAGTTCACAATTATGTTTTGGGATAAAGTACAAATAAGCCACTGAACTATTGGAGAAACAACAATTAAGCCATCGAACTCAAATAACCCTCAAATAAGCCATTGAACCCGGAAAAAAAAGAGCAAATAAGCCATTGGACCCTGAAAAAAAGATCAATTAACATTTTTTACAGGTTAACTCCAGGTTTTTGCTGATTGGATTGCCAAATGTTTATTTTATTTACGTTTATTATTATTTTTTATTAATATTATCCACTTGGATAGTATTATATTTTAAAATAATTATAATCAAAATAGTTTTGTCTTGTCGAGATTTGACTTGTTTATTTATTAGGGGTGTCAATACGGGCCGGCCCGCTTCATTAGGCCCGCCTCACCGCGGGCTTTTTATTTAGCGGGCTTTGGCCGGCCGGCCTGCGAAGCCCGCGAGCTTGGAACTATACAACTCAAGCCCGCCCCATGCGGGCTTGCGGGTCTCGCGGGCTGGCCCGTGGGCCATCACTTAAATTTAAAAAAAAACATTAATTAGTATATAAACATGTTAAAACCGCTTGAAATATGGCACCGAAAACTTCCATAAAATCCATAAACCTCGCCCAAATCTCCCGGATCGATATCGCGCGTTCAGCAGAACTGTAGAAGGGTGATCAAAGCAAGGGTTCAACAGCACACTTGATTTCTCTCTCGGCTTCGGATTTTCCCTCTACAATTCCCGTATGTGTATAATACATATATAAATATGTATGCTTACTAGACTTGGAGGCGATTTAGTAATTCATAAATATGTATGAATTGATGATTTAGTTTTAGTAATTATTTGATAGAGTTGGAGACGGATGGAGACGGGAGAACCGAAGAACTACGTACTCTATGAATTATTGAATTAAGAACTGGCGAAGGATTATTGAATTATTGGATTTCTCCCCTTCTACGTACTCTTAGATAGTTAGATCTACACATTGCCTAAGAATTAAGATATTATATATATGATTTTTTTTAAAAAAAAAAGATATTATATATATAATTTATTTATTTATTTTTGGCCCTCCGCGGACCATGCCCGTTAGGCCCGCATTTTTGCGAGCCTAATTTCTTGCGGCCCTAACCCGCCCCATTGCGGGGCGGGTGCGGGCTAACCCGCGGGCTTCGGCCCACTTTGACACCCCTATTATTTATTATTATTTTTCATTAGATCTTTTGTTTAAAAAAATAATAATAAATAAATAAATTAGATCTAGACAATACAAAACTACTTTGATTATAATTACTTTAAAATATATTACTATGTAGATGAATTATAATAATAAAAAAATATAAATAAAATAAACATTTGGCAATACAGTCAGCAAAAATCTGGAGTTAACCTGGTAAAAATGTTAATTGCTCTTTTTTTTTTTTCCGGGTTCAATGGCTTATTTGTGGGTTATTTGAGTTTGATGGCTTAATTGCTTTTTCCCAAATAGTTCAGTGACTTATTTGTACTTTATCCCTTATGTTTTATTGAATTGTTTGGTTGGCTAGCTTGTTGCAAACTAGTTGAACACTCTAAAGAGCTTGGAAGAACTCCTGAATCTATAATTAGTAATATGTGAATATATTTATCATTTCACAATTATATTTATCGAATTGTTTGGTGGGCTAAAATGTTGCAAACTAGTTGAACACTCTAAAGAGCTTTAATATCTTAAGGTGTTTTTAACTCTAAGTATCTTCAATGCCTTCCACCTATAATTTTACTGGGGTTTTGATGCTAACCTGGTTGGCCCGATCTTCTCTTCACAATCGAATTACAAAAAATATTTTAGAGTGATTTATTCGGAATCGAGGGTTTAATTTAGGTTGGGAAAATGGTTAATTTTTGGATTTTGATAAGTCCTCGACCACACCGGGTTATACGAACATAGGATTTGGGATGACGCCACAAGTGGGGTTTTACACTTGATAAGTCAGGTTTGCTATGACCAACTCACGGCCGAACTCATTCCGAGTTCTAGAAAACACTCAGTTTTCTAATTCAAAAATTCTCAACTCTGTATTTTACTTAAATAGCTATTAACAAACATATTACAACCACGTAAATCATAAATGAGATAATTATTAAAAATATAATAAGCTAATCCTAACCAACAAACTAGGATAAACATAAATAATAATATAATTCTAACAAACTAAATCTAAAATAATTTAAAAATAATCATCCTAATTAAGTAATTAATTAATTAATATAACTAATTCTAAAATATTTTCAACAATTCATGTGGCCACAACAGGTTTTCTCGTCGTCTAGACGATCGTCTTAAACATTTAACTTTTTAAGATTTTCAAGAGCTCTCAGAATTTTCAAGAGTGATAATAAAATTCTTTACTAGATCTAGTTGTTATGTGTTCTTATAAGTTATATATTAATGAATCTCCTGCACTCAAGGAATATTGATATACGTATATATGGTCCAATTTGGAGAATGTGTACGAGACATAGTCACTCTTTTTATGAAATAGATTTATTTGGCAGATATATTTAATTTCTTTCTAAACTTGCATTTCAGTCTAATTGGTACGTGGATTTAATTTTTGAAGATCATTTTCATTCCATGAAATTTCTCGGCATTCCATTTAAATTTGATCATATCTCCCCCTAATGCAGTGAACCGATCTTCATGCAGTCAATGTATCCATTGTGTCTCTCTGAGGGGCAATATTTGAGACAACAGATGGAGGTTGAGAGGTATACTATGGTGGTTATGTAATAGATTGGACTGCATTTATAAGAATAGAAACACAGATTTGGGAAATGTTTGTTTGAAAATCACGTTTTAGATGTAAGGGGGAATAAAGATATGCAGTGTGTCAAAATTTTTAAAGTAGCAGCCTGAATACTGCATTTCCTGACAAGTATCTGGCACATTGGTGTTTTGAAAAATAATGGTTTAGCAAGCAATTTAAATTTAGAGATTTAGTTAAACCCTTTTAGGTTCGTCAAAAGCGGACGAGTTGAATTCACCAGCGTTATTGATCCTTATATGCTTAAGAGGATAATCGGGGAATTGAGTATTTAATTAAATGACGTTTGCTTAGAAATTCGGCAATGAATTTGTTTGTAATTGACAACATGATCACATGTGTCTACTGGGTGGAAATATTGATAAACACCAAAAAGGATTCAAAAGTAGGTCATCAATATGACCAACAAGAGCCTTTGCTTTAGGCAAGGCAACATGGCCGTTCCAATAAAAATTGGGGTCCTGTGCAATATCATAATTTGGGCCCCATTTTTCAAATTTTTTTGAATATATTAATAATTCCAAACAAAAAATCATAAGTTGTTCTTGAGACACTTTATCAATAGTTTCATATTTTTGTAGTCTAAGACGCAACTTCATCCAATTTGTCATATTAGTCATATGATCGACACACGTTTCATGCTCTAAGTCTAACACCACCAGTCCCTAACATCTTCATTGACCAAAAAACAGTTTCCTATACTTTTTAAAAAAATATATCTTGTAACAAAAACAAAACACATTGTCAAGTTCTTTTGAATATACAAGCCAATTTCGATCACACTTATCTCCATTTGGCAAATATCTTGTGTAAAATGCTAATGAAAATCTTATTGAGAATTTACCTTTGGACCTTTATTTATTGATAAATCTCTTTTAGGACAATCTTTCATAATAATATCTATTAATTTAGAATCATGAGCATCCCAATTTCTTGGATCATATATGTCAAATAAAAGCGAATCATTTGGTTTATCACTGTGGCCAACATCATCTAAACAACTATCAACATTCTTATTATTTTCATTGTCATAGTAATATCTATCATCGTTGTGCACACTATTATTTAATTTTTTTTCAACTCACAATCATCTTGATTTTCATGAAGATTAGCATCTAACAATTTTTCCTTGACATCATCTTTTTGCTCATCTATTTGGTTGTTTTTTTTTTTTTTTTTTTTTTTTTTTTTTTTTTGTAATAAATTTTCAAGAGCTCCTTTTTGAGATTGAGTTAGCTGCTTAATTCTTCTTTTCTATTTACTCTTCTCAAACCCATGAATATTTTCTAGACGACATAATTATAAAATCCTAAGAAAAAAATAAAAAAAATATTTAGAAACTCTATGAATAAATAATTAATCATGAAATGAATTCTTGAATATATTATTCTAAAATCAGAATTATTAAGTCATGTAAATAAAATAATAAACAAGAATTGTGAAATAATACGTAATTTCAATTACCTATCAAGAAAATTAAAAAATCAATAGCACAGAAGCTAAGTTTTCTTTGGATCAATTCACTAAATTACGTGCTATCTGGGAGACGTCAAACAGCAAAAAAAAAAAAAAAAAAAAAAAAAAAAAATCAACCAAATTGCATTATGCCTACAAAAGTGCAAAGGATACAATTGAGATTTTCCTAAGGTAATTTCACTAATTTGACAGCACTACAGCAGCAACATTTAAATTAATTCAAATGTTCAATTACCAATCGTTATGCGTTGGACTCGTGTCCAGTATGCTTGCTGGACACGGGTAACAGTGCCGTTAGGCACTGTTATCTCCTTTTTTTTTTTTTTTTTTTTTTTTTTTTTTTTTTTTAAATTTCAGACCGCTTCATTGTAATAGTATATGTTCATAATTTTATTACTATATGTTAATAACTATACATTCATAACTCCATAACTGTACGTTCATAACTCTATAACTGTACATTCATAACTCCATAACTGTACATTCATAACTCCATAACTGTATATTCATAACTCCATAATTGTACATTCATAATTTTCGAAGCTCTATGTTCACAATTTTAAAGCTCTATGTTCATAATTTTATCACTATATGTTCATAATTGTAAGTTCATAATGTTAGAGCTCTTTGTTCATAATTCGATCAATAACTGTACATTCATAATTCCATACTGTAGATTCATAATCTCATAACTGTAGATTCATAACTCCATAACTGTAGATTCATAACTCTATAACTGTACATTCATAACTCCATAACTGTACATTCATAATCTTCGAAGCTCTATATTCACAATTTTAAAGCTCCATGGTCATAATTTTATCACTATATATGTTCATAATTGTAAGTTCATAATGTTAGAGCTCTGTGTTCATAATTTCATAATTGTATAACTGTATATTCATAACGGCATAACTGTACATTCATAACGGCATAACTGTACATTCATAATCAAAAAAAAAAAATAACACCATTAACGGCAAAACGCGCGCGATTTTTTTTTTTTTTTTTTTTTAACTAAATGACGCGTTTTTTTTTTAAAAACGACGTCGTTTTGGGCCCGTGTCCACAATTCAATGTGGACACGGGTCCAGGGCATAATTTGCCTTCAATTACCTAGGAGGCTAGGAAATTTGTTGTGAGAGATTTTCCTCTATGCCGCTAGGTATTAGGATAATAGGGTTTGTCCGTTTGTGGCCTTGTTAGTTTGATTGTTCGAATAGCCGCTGATATATCATATATATGCTATATATAATTTTTATTTTTATTTTTATAATAGGGGCCCAAATTTTGGGGGCCCTGTGTAAAGGCCTTGGGCAGACTTGTCCAGGACCGGCCCTGCAAGGCAACTTTGTTGGATTCAACATGGTGTTGTTCGTTCAGGTTTCAGCAGGGCCGGTCCTAGGTATGTCTGCCCAGGACCTTTGCACAGGGCCCCCAATTTTTGGGGGCCCCATAATTTATAAAAAAAAATGCATATATATTGTGTAAGCGTTGGCAATGCAGCATTACGGAACGGCGGAACCCTTTATTCTTGATGCGCAAGTCGGCAAGTGCACATTGCGCAATCCTATGTCCCCATGGCATTATGTATATAATATTAGGCTAATTAGTTTGATTTCATTACCAAATTTGCTGCTTATTTACGCAAATGGCTAATTAGTTTGATTTCATTACCAAATTTGCTGCTTATTTACGCAAATCTCACAAATAAAACTAATAACTAGGTATTAGACAAACGATTTCTTATCATGAGACACAGTGACTAATCCCCGGGGACGACTGACCTAGAGAGGATCAAACCCTTGACCAAAGTTAAAGATGGATGGGTCCCTTCCACTCAACCACGCCCTCCAAGTTACTCTTATTAGGTAATTAAAATTACTAAATATTTAACAATTTTTGTTTATCATTTTATTTGCATGACTTAATAATTTTGATTTCAGAATAATATATTCAAGAATTTGTTTCTTGATTAATTATATGTTCATAGAGTTTCTAAATAAATTTTTATTTTTTCGTTTTATAATTATGTCTTCTAAAAAATATTCATCTGGATTTGATAAGCTTAAAAGAAAACAAGAATTGAGCAACTAACTCAATTTCAAAATGGAGCTCTTGAAAAATTCATTATAGAAGAAACTCAAATAGATGTACAAAAAGATAATGTCAACGAAAGTTGTTAGATGCTATCTTCATATTAAGATGATTGTGAAATTGAAAAAAATTTAAATGATAGTGTGCACAACAATGACAGATATCACTGTGACAATAAAAATAATAAGAATGTTAGGTTGATAGTTGTTTAGAATTGCTCACAGTGATAAACCAAATGATTCGCTTTTATTTAACATTAGTTTTAATCTCTATTGTAAATGAGATTTTGGAAGAACTTGATATCAAAAGTTTGATGAATGATTTTGCGTCTTTTACACGACGCATGTCACTTTTTAAATGAAATTTTAGACGTATTTTTTATACAAAATTTATATTTTGAATTTTTGACACAGTTTTTTGAACAACTATTATTTATATATACAAATTATTATTATTTTTTAAAAGGGCCCAATTTAAGATATTGCACAGGATCCCATTTTCTATTAGAACGGCCCTGGGTTTCAGCAAAATGCTTCGTGGTGTGGCATGCACATGAACAGTGCCTTTTACACCCATACGTGAAACATAACTTGCTGCTATGCCAGAGTTATGATTTTGTGTTTGTTCTTGATAAGTTGATCATTTTTGCTTTTTATTCTGATTTCGAGAGTTGTTGTTGTTGCCACCTCGGCCTTACCTCTTCCCCGTCTTCTTCCTCAACCCCTCTTGGTGTTGCACAATTAAGCGAAATTGTGTGCTTCGGGCACCGGTGCAGAGCCAGCTGGGCATGCATTATAGATTTGCATCAAAAGGTGGTTGTGTTTCTATAGTTATGGGATGAGGGTGGTGTGGGAAAGAAGACAAGATCTCGGTAATCAAATTTGTGTCAGAAACATTCTACTTACACAACCTTAGTTGGGACACAATTTTGTGTATAGCTGATTTAGGATAAGTCATTTGACTTAAAGTTTTGAAAGATCAAGGTAAGGCAGTCAAATTGTGATTTTAGAAAGGATCATTAATATGTAGTAGTCAAATTTATCCTTTGGGAATTTCTATAAGGCATAAGGGTCCTTTGCAGGAATGTATTCATTTGTTAGGGGTGACGTAAGAAAAATTAAGGTGTTGGCTTTTTGGGCCGCATCGCTCGTGAAATTCTTAACGATCGTGTTTTCAAGGTGATGTAAGATCGATATAAATTTCAATATCAAGAGCCCATGTAAAATAATCACTCCCGTCCAGAATAAAATGAGAGAGGAGTATACTTTTTTTTTTTTCTTAGGCTGTGTTTGGAAACTGAAAAAATGATTTTTGAAAATCATTTTTCGAGTTTTCAGTATGTGGATGCAATTAAAAATTCCAGTCAACGGAAAACATTTTCTGTTGACTAGGGAAAATGTAGTCATTTTGGGGGAAAATAACTTCAGCCAAAGTTTGTTTAAAAGTTTCCACTGGAACTGAAGCAAGAACTGAACCCTACTGGTGAAAAGTTTTACTTTTATAGACAGATTAGATTAAACTATAAAATGGGGTATGAAATGGTTCAATGATATATTCAATAGCTTCAGTTTCTTTTGCAAATCAACATATGTTGCTGGCTAGGAGGAACATAAAAAAGGCAAGAAAATTGAATCATATGACATGCAATTGGAACCCTTACATATATGAAACTGGGCGTTGTGTAGTTACGGTAAACAAATATATTGAGGACCTGATTTCGTTCATCCATTATCGGTCTTTGTTTCAGGCTACTTAGCCAGCCGCATTTCCCCTTTTTCCAACCGCAACTTTTATACTGAAGCCTTTAGCATTTGTGGAAAAACATGATTGCTTCCTGTTTCCGTTTATAACCAGTACATTTTCTTTTTTTTTTTTTTTTTTTTTTTTTTTTTAACTTGAGTAGGTACTAGTTTGATTTGTCTGTTGAAGAAGCTGCATAACGTTTCGTGATGGAGCCAGTGGAGGTGTTGCCACTAGTATGATTCTCCCCCCTTTTCTCCATAACTTAAAACATGTGCATGCACAGCATAGAAGGACTGAAGGACAAAAAGAATTTGTCCTTATTTTTGTGCTAAAATCGGGGTAACTTTTTGAATTGGCAGTTGTGAATATTGTGGTATTAGTGCCTGCCTTATTGTGATTTTGTGCTTCTTTCAGTTTACCATGTTGAGCCAAATGGATGGAAGAAAGTCAAGAAATTGTCATGTGATGATGTTGGAGAGCTTCACTACCATTACTACCCAGTTGAAGCAGCAGCAGTGGATCGGAGCATGAAATGGCCCAAGTGCCCATTGCTTCAACTTATCCTATTTGCTACTTCGTATTTGCTAAATGCCTTGATTTCTTCATCTTATTTTCCTGTTTATGGTTGCACATTTTAGTTTGGTTGAGATGATATTAGTTGTGCTTCTTCGTTTTCCTTTCTTCACTCACTAACCACATTGTAGCTGAGATGATATTAGCTGTGCATCTCGGTTTACCTTTTTTCATTAATCACATTTTACTTAGAGCTGTCAAAACGGGCTTAGCCCGCCCGGCGAATGCTGCCATCTCCTCCAAAGGCGTCTCCAGTCTCTTGCACCATCTTGATGGCCATCCCCACATGCTCTGACACATTGCCGATATCATGCTTAAATTAGATTTCTTGGTATTCCGTCCAAGCAGATCTTGATCTTCGACTGAACGTTGAGAAGAGAGTATTTTCGAAAATAAAATTTCGTACATTAAAATTCGTATTCGAAATCATCTAAGAACAAATAAATATTTAATAATATACAAAATTATAAATACTAAATATAACAACAATTTATATAATTAAAAATAAAAATATCATTTAAAAATAAACAAAATTAAAGAATTGAACAAATAGCAGCCTGTAGAGACATAGCCGGAGCGTTATGCCGTGCAACCGTGTGCACCATGCATGGTGCACACGGTTGCAAACGACGTCGTTTTGACGTCCAATTTTAAAAAAAAAATCTCAGTTTCGATTGTTGTTAACGGTGTTATGTTGTGCATAATTCGAACTATATAGTTCATTCATTCTGGATATATAGTTCATTCATTCTGGATATATATTTCATTCATTCTAAATATATAGTTCATTCATTCAGGATGTATAGTTCAATCATTTTGGATATATAGTGTTGGAAAAATAGCATTAAAATGGCATTTTAAGTGGCTATTTTGTGGTACAATTATCATCAGTGGGGTCCACTTCCGAAATGCACTACAAGAAAAATGCACATAGACAACGGTTAATAACCGTTGTCGTAGGGGTATAATTTCTGTTGTTGAAGCCGGTGTTGTTGTAAGTCCTGCGCATAGACAACGGTTTTTTAACCGTTGTCTTTTCTAGAAACAACAACGGTTTTTTAACCGTTGTCTATTAAGTGTTGTTGAAGCCAGTGTTGTTGTAAGTCACGCACATAGACAACGGTTAATAACCGTTGTCTTTTCTAGAAACAACAACGGTTTTTTAACCGTTGTCTATTAAGTGTTGTTGAAGCCGGTGTTGTTGTAAGTCACGCACATAGACAACAGTTAATAACCGTTGTCTTTTCTAGAAACGACAACGGTTTTTTAATCGTTGTCTATTAAGTGTTGTTAAAACCGGTGTTGTTAAAAGTCACGTACATAGACAACGGTTAATAACCGTTGTCTTTTCTAGAAACGACAACGGTTTTTTAACCGTTGTCTATTAAGTGTTGTTGAAACCGGTGTTGTTAAAAGTCACGCACATAGACAACGGTTTTAAACCGTTGTCTTTTCTATAAACGACAACGGTGTTTTAACCGTTGTCTATTAAGTGTTGTTGAAACCGGTGTTGTTAAAAGTCACGAACATAGACAACGGTTTTTAACCGTTGTCTTTTCTAGAAAAGACAACAGTTTTTGACCCGTTGTCTATTCAATGTTGTTGAAACCGGTGTTGTTAAAAGTGATGCACATAGACAACGGTTTTTAACTGTTGTCTTTTCTATAAAAGACAACAGTTATAAACTGTTGTCTATTGTGTGTTGTTGAAATCGCTGTTGTTGAAAGTCACGCCCATAAACTGTTGTCTATTGTAAAATAGACTCAACCCATTTTTAACCTGCTTAAATTTTAATCATATAAAAAAAATCAATTTATCCATTCACCATGGCCAGTGTAGTTACATAATTTTGAAGAAGCTAAGCAAGGTTCAAAATAACAAGTCAAAATACTTTCATTACCAATTCTAATCGAATCATCATCCAAGTCATAATACTACAAAAAACAATTCTATGAACCAAGTCTAAATGATTACAACGTCAAATCATACCTACTCTATATAACTTGATAGAATATCGGCCCATTCTGAACGCACCAGATCAATAACCGCTTTTTCATAATCAACTTGTTGGAACTACATGTAAAAAGTGAGTAAATAAATTAGTATAGATATAATAAATTTGCAATGAAATGCGAACAGTGGAGGTATTTATACACTACACAAGAATAAAAGTGAACCATTGATGCTAGTGCAATATCCAACAGCTAGAAAAGAAACCTAGAATAGCTAACCTCAGCAAGCATATGTAAGTAGTGTAAACAAAATGATGCTAAGGAAGAAGAGTCATAATTATATATAGGGAAAGAAATGCAAACACACCTGGGTGCACAGATTTGGGAATGTCAAACTTAGTAAAACAAGGAAGAAAAATCAAGAACTCAAACTCACAATTCCATGTTAAATTCCAGTAAACTAGTTCCAGTAACCAGTTTACTAAACAAATGCACCACCATTTAAAAATGAATCAAAAAAATCATAAACCAACTTCAACTACGTACATGAAAACATCAACTTACAACTACTTCTGAATTCTGATTATCTTTTCCATATGACAGCTCAAAAATACATTGCTACTGAGTACAACTGTTTCCTAAAACTCTTCATCCGTACCTCCTATACTATACGTATTCTTAATTTTACAAATTACCAATTATCGAAACTGAATAAGCAAAACAACAATAAATGAAGTTAAATATGCAAACCTCTTCATATGACAAACAAGACTGTGTCCATGAAGAACATAGAGACGATCACAACTATTGCGCGCTCTCAAAGAAATCAAAGCTCTGAACCTGAAAAGGGGTAAGTTCAAGACATACAGACAACACAAAGTTAGCATAAAAATGCTAAGTAAGGCTCACTTTGCCCCGTAAAATATTAACATTTGTAGTTTGAAAATAAACATACTTTTAAAAGATAAACAAGAAAGGAATACTATGAATTTTAAAATATACATGTTGGAAAAGAGTACATCATATCCTTTTTCTTGAGATTAAAACACTAGTTAATTGAGAATAAATTCAAATGCCACATACATAAGACATTATTAAAATGATACAACAACTTCACTTAAGAACATATTTCTCATCTCTTTCAGATGGTAAACAATTCCACTTTAGTCAAAGGCATTTTCCAGTAGCCAAACATTTGTAGATACATATACGTAAATTTCCATAAGTAAAAACCAATGCAAATGCATAGATCCTGCTGCCAATTAACATTTTGAAAACCAACAAGTGTATAAATAGATAGCAGATACATACACAGCAGGAACAGTTAGAGCAAACTCATTTTGGATGGGCATAAACCATTACAAACTTTAAAACATGAACATACACTATTTTAGAAGCAAAATAACACCATATTAACATAATTTCTAAGGAATTAAAGTAGCAAAAATAGCCCATAATTTCAATAATAAAACTTAGGGCAAAATAATAGGGACACCCATGAATCCTTACCTTCTTTCACAGCACTTCTAGAGTATGATTCCCCCTAATCCTAGCCTTCTTCTCAGCTCCTTCTCCTAATAGCACCCCAAACATACATAGCTAGCAACGAACAACATATAAACAACATATATAAAGAAGTATGAACATGTAGGCAGTATGAAACTATGAAGTATGAACAAGAAGTCATTATACCGCAATACCTCGACGGCTATCTGGACTCGCGACAACGGCCTGGAGGCCTGGACTCGCGACGGCGGCCTGGAGCCACGGCGGACTCTGGACTCTAGGGTCTAGACTCGCGACGGTGGCCTGGAGCAATTACCGACGGCGGCCTGGAGCAATTACCGACGGCGGCCTGGAGATGGCGATACGCGGCGTCGGCGACGGCTCTCTACAGTCGGCGAAGTCCCTCCGTAGTCGACGAAGTCTCTATGTATGAAGTCTGAGTCGCGACAGTTTGAAGAATAGAAATTTTTAGGGATTTTGACTGTTCAAAATTTTTATTTCTAATCATTATTTTTATATATTATAATATAATAATATTATTATATTATATAGTATATATTACACGGCTCGCGAGCGGTTCGACTAGTCACGAGCCTAGAATATTTAGGCTCGGCTCGTGCTCGAGCCGAGCGGCTCACGAACGACTCGGCTCCTCTTATATAGAGAATGGCGGAGAGCACTCTAACTGCGGAGAAGTCTGACGAGAATGGCTGTCGGCGGAGATGTCTTAGTTCGCAATTTTGTCTGAGGGAAATTTTGTCTTAGTTCGCAATTTTGTCTTAGAGGGAAGACAAAAATTTCGTTCCCAATTTTGTCTTAGAGGGAAATTTCGTAAAAAAATATTAGTTTTATTACCCGGGTCGCTAGACCCGGCCAATTAAAATAGTACCGGGTATGAACATAGATTTCAATTCAAAAATTATGAATATATAGTTCGGTAATTATGAACATAGAACAATGTGCACCATGCATGGTGCACATGGTTGCACAACATAATTTGCCCTTTATTACCCGGAGGTTTATTACCCAGACAACTCACGGCCCAATTATATTACAAAGCTAAGATCGCGGCAAAAGAAATGGGATATAGCTAACTGTACGGCATCGATCAACTACTCTTTTATATCCATTCTCCACGTGTCCCATGCATGCCGGAAGGGTCGATTACCAACATATAGCTAACCTTGTTAGTTATGCGCTAGCCGGAATGGTCGATTACCAACCCCGGCCCCTATCATACCGCCCTTAACCCCTACACACCATACCGCACCATTCTGAACACCACACCGCACCGCGCAGGGCTGTTTTAGGCCATGTCGGACCGGCGCGACCGCACAGGGCCCCCAATTTTTTTAAAAAATATTATAAATATAATCTATTGTTTTTTATACTTGATAATTATTATTATTATTTTTTAATTCATAGATTGGTCTTAATTGTAATATAATTGAAAATAAAACTTTAATGAATTTACTTTGAAATTTTGGTGAATAATTTTATATTTAAATATGAACGAAAATAGAACTATTAAATTAACATTTGAATTGTATTCTTTCTTTGTTAAATTATAGGTAAAAATAAGGTGTAACACTTTAGTACACAAGAGTTGGTGTGACTTGATGGATTTAGCTTTGTTTGTTATGTTAAAGGTTTTGGGTTCCATCTTTCATGGTGCCATTCTTAACTTATTTTATACAATCATTGTTTTGGTTCTCAAAGACAACACATAAGCGAACTGGTAATATACTAGATGTTGCGCTTGAATACATAAGTGTTGGTGCGGCTTAGTGGGTTTAGCTTAGTTTATAATGTTAGAGGTCTTAGGTTCTATTCTTCTTGGAGGGAATTCTTTAACTATTTCCTAAAATTGTTGTCTTGGTTTTAACAAACAACACAGAAGCAACCCACTTATATATCAGATGTTGCACCTTTAGACATAAGAGTTTGTGTTGCTTAGTTGGTTAGATTGCTTACTTGTTAAGGTTGGGGTCATAGGTTCGACTCTTGTTGTTAAAATCTTTGTCTTTATTTTATATACCTGTTAAATAATAATGCGCAAAGACAACGGTTTTTTAAAATCGTTGTCTTTATAGTGTTGTGTATTCAAATACGCTTAAAGACAACATACCAAAGACAACGGTTTTATAAAACCGTTGTCTTAAACAAATAAAGAATGCGCAACGACAACGGTTATATAAAACCGTTGTCGTTTTTGTGTTGTGTATTTGAGTACGCCCAACGACAACACACCAGCGACAACGGTTAAATAAAACCGTTGTCTTTTTTCAAAAAAAGAGCGCACGAAGACAACGGTTTTAAACAACCGTTGTCTTTCTAGTGTTGTGTATTCCAGTGCGCTTAAAGACAACACACCAACGACAACAGTTAAAAAAACCGTTGTCTTATTTAATAAAAAATGCACATAGACAACAGTTTTAAAAAACCGTTGTCGTTGTGGTGTTGTCTTTTCACAAAATGCACAAAGACAACACACTTATAACAACGGTTAAGTAAAAACCGTTGTCTTTGACAAAAGTGTTGTATCAAAGACAACGGTTTTGGACCAAACTGTTGTCTTTTATACAAAAGACAACACTTTTCTTAAAAACTGTTGTCTTTCTAGTGTTGTCTATGTGCATTTTTCTTGTAGTGATGGGTCGGGTCAAAGTGGATTAGGGTTCTTCGTAGTGAGACGAAGAGATTGATATATTGTACGCTCAAAACGGATAATGGGTGAATGAGATATTGATTCTCAAAGTAGATCCATTGAGATGGAAAAATGAAGGGAAAACGATGAGCTTTTGTCCCACATTGGTTTGGGAAGAGGATTTGCCCCACTATTTATACAAGAGTCTTTTAAAGGTTTATTGAATTGATATATTGTATGTTGAAAAGGCTTGATTCAAACCTAAACTTGTGTGCTTAAGTAGTTTCGGCCTTGTGCCCGTAACACAGAAGAGGGAGGGAACATCATGTGCGATTAAATAATACAGTTTTTACTCTCACATTTTATCGTGAGAAGCCACAACACTCCTAGCACTTTTGGGAGGTGGCAAATAAGGTTTTAAGGAAAAAGGGCACTTCGTCTGACTCGTACTTACGCTCATTCTTCCACTCCTTCTTTTTGGTTTTGGAATTATGCTCTAAGCATCAAATCCTTTATCCTTTCATGTTGGTTGGAATTGTAATCTGGAGGATTACAAGTTCCATTTTGGTTGATATATATATTTTCGTAGATATATATATATATATATATATATATATATATATATATATATATATATATATATATATATATATATATATATATAGGGTTGAGTTCAAATGAGGACAACAATATATAGAGGACTGTGAGGACAAATAATAGGCACACAACAAATTAATACCAGGCACACAACTTAATACATAATGGCACACAAGAATAAATGTAAACATCAGGTTTCGAACCCAGGCTCTGAAAATTAACAAATCTAGCACGCGGCATACAAACTGTGGCACACGACTACATTCGGTCATGCACACGACATACCGGCAAATGGCACACACTACATCTGTCCTCACAGTCCTTTATAATATACTTGTCCTCATTTGAATACACACACACACACACACACACACACACACACACACACACACACACACACACACACATATATATATATATATATATATATATATATATATATATATATATATATATATATATATATCGAATAGTATTTTATATATTTTCGTGTGTATATATAAATACTATTTTGCGAGATTAAATCCACTTTGGTTCATTATTTCCCAACAATCTTAAAACCTTATCTTTTTGATAATGAACAAGTCGATGGATTCCAAAAGTGTTGGATCCGTGAATGTTGCTTGTGGTGCACATTCAAATGGTCGGAACAGCAACGATGTTGCACATTCCGTGATGCCGGTTGACGGCAGCAACGTTGGAAATGATATTTCCATGGGAGTTGCAGAAACACACGATGGTGCTACGGAGAACTTTGGTTCACGAACCGGTAGACCAGTGGCTGGTGGCACACAATTGGTACCTATTGTGTTGCCTAGTGGATTGGCTGAAAGCCACGAAGGATCCAATGATAGTGTGATCACTACATGGTCTGAGGACTATTGTAGTGTGAACAACGACTTCAGCGATAATAAAAGGAAAGTCAAACGAAAGTTTAGGCCTGAAGATGATTATGAGGAAGAAGTGAGCAACCACTACGAAGCGAACCGTCATCATGGTGAAAAGGTTGCGGACAACTTCGTTTGGGTTAAAGAATGTGGATGGTTGGACGAGTGAGGTCACAATCAAGGTTTCTTTAACAGGTACCCCCGATGTGCGCTATGGGACCACCCTTCGTGGACTGGACGGTTGGAAAATGGAACAAGACACACGTGTTTGAAGGACTACTACGAGATAGGAATAAGGAATCTGTTTCCAATGTATTTTCCTATTTATTTATTTGTGGAATAAATATTGTAGTATCCTTGTAATATTTTTATTTGAATAAAAATATAATTGTTCCATTGAGTTGTTGAATCTTAGTACATACGAATTATTTGTTAGAATAATGTCAAATGTATGAAATGCTTCAATATGGATGCCTAGGGCATCACTTAGCATTATGTGGAAAAATGCTAAAATGGCTTAACGACCGGAACAAAATGTAACAAGCATGTTACATGTTTGAAATCTCGTAACGGACTTCGGTTCTAGTTCATATAGATTTCAAGGATAATCAATTTGTCAAAAAATGGGATAACTATATAATCGTGAGCGTCACAGCTTAAGTGTTGAATATTTTAAATAATATTTTGAGAACGATTATATGAGTTTGATTCAGCTAGTCAGAAATTTGGTTGATTTGATAATGTTAATTATGTTAAAATTAACTTGATCAAAAATTCTAAATTATACTAGTATGAAATATAATTTGAGACAAATTGATTGGGACATCAAAATTAAGCTTGAGCTTAATGAAAAATGCTAATTAATTCCCGGAAATTTATTCCCTAAAATCCAAATTAATTTCTTAATTAATTCCTTGTGGCTTTACAATTCTTATCCTAATTTCCCTTTGAAATTAGTTGAGGGACCTAGTTTGACCAAATCCCTTACTCTTTTAATTTGGTCAATAAGTTGTACCTTGTGCTTTAGCCCTTGCACCCTAGACTTTGTCTCTCTCCTAACTAGTTTTGGGAGGAAGGGGCTCTTTTGGTCATTTCACACAATGCTAGCATTAAAACCCTACCCTAACCAAGGAATCCAAATCATTTTTCAGGATTTCCCTTCTCTCTACATCTCTTTCTTGACCCCCTACCCCTCCTTCTCTCTAGGAAATCCTAGAGTTGATCTTCACAAGTTCTTCAAGAAATCCCAAGCCAAGATTCCAACTTTCCAACACTACAAGGCTAGCAATGGTAAGATCTATCATTCCCTACCTTTTCCTTACAAGATT